CAACAAAAAAGAAAACACACAAAAAAGGCAAATAGTCATGGACTCCTCCCTAGTGTAGAGCCCCTAGGTGTAAAGTCTAAAATTTATCTAAAATCCTCTCCTTTATTCATAACCTTTAAATCAAAATTCACCTCGAACCCTCAGTTCATACCCCTCATGGATGATCAGTAACCAATACACTGTTCATCTAAGTTGCTGGTAACTTTGGTATTGTTTATCCACGTGAACAGTACAAAGGTGTTGTTCATCGTCCTCACCGCAGCCTTCCGATCCGTCACGCCTCTTTGACAACTAGCTCTGACCATGCACGAGCTTTGATGAGCCCTGATGAGCTATCACAATCCAATCAAGTATCCCAGATGCCTGATCTCCCTGATTGGCATTCAGTGAGTTGTGACTTCTCCCTGCCAAGCAGTCAATGATCCCTATCTTTCAGCAAAGCTCCGTCTAAACGCTACAATGCTGTTCAAGTTTTGTTTAGCTCCTAACCATATACGAACATGGCTTTAGAAAGCTATTGAAGATTTAGAAATATATCTGCTCCTCGTTTCAAATCCCGATTAGGTTTGGGTAGCTGCCAATGTTCCCACTGTGAAGATCCTCATACTTTCATTTCGGATCCAGATAGGTATTGAAGGATGCATTCGTGAGCCTCCTCCTTTTGGATCTATCGTCCTGATCCACATCAACATGTAACTAGATGTCAGACAATGAATGAGGTATAGTTGATAGTTAATAATTCCATTTGACATGCGTTACATAATATTCATAACCAGCAGGTAATATTTGCTTAGAATTTTCGGGTTAACTAATGGTTTGACTTGGGTGGAATTTTGTTTGCAATTTTTTTGGGTAAAATTTGCACATGTACTTGTGATTACTATCCATGTCATCTATTCTTATTTTCCAAATTTCACATGATATATTTTTTTTCTGCCTGCTCCTTTACCCAGGAAGAGATCCGCTTCATGATTAACCCAGAATTGATTGTTGGTATGCTTTTTATGGCTGCAATGAAGAAGAATGAGGCAATAGAGATTCTGGGCGTCGAGAGGTTTTCTTGTTACATGGGGTTAGTTTTTTCGTATAATTTTGTTTAATTTCTTATTTATGTTATGTCCAGCCATATGCTATTTGGAATAAGTAATTCATATGGTTATAGTGTTTTTGTGATTCTCAGTAATTGCCCGAAAATTTGGATATTTTTACTGGAAATTGTGTCTCATGCATATTATCCTTTACTATATACATATTACTTTTGGTTTTTTAGCATGTATACCACCGTGCTCTGAAGCACGGATACTCCCCCAGAGGTCACGAATCCGTGTCTGACACGAATCGGACACGGATTCGTGCCCGACACGTGCAAGACACGTGTCGGACACGGTCAATCCGTGTCCGACACGGGTCAACGGTCCAAACAAGGGGGATACGGTCAAACAAGGGGAAGGATACGGGGATTCGCCGAATTATGAAGAAAACGTCGCCAAAAAAACAGAAACAGAACCCGTAACCCAAACCCGCTTCGCTACAAAGCCCTAATTTTCACTTACTGAGTTCGCCGCTCGTCCTCATCTCTATCTCTCTCGTCATCGTCCTCTCGAGCTCGACGAACCGCATCCTGTCATCGTCCTCTCGCCGCTGGCTTTATTGTCGTCGATCAATCCCCTCCCGTCATCATCGATCTCTCCTCATCTCGTCGTCGTCGGTCGTCGATCCTCGTCCCGACGCTGGTAAGATCTCTTCTCTCTCTCTCTCCGTCTTCGTCGATCAGATCAGATCTTCGTCGATCTCGACGAACCGCCCGTTGTCGTCGATCAGATCTCGAGATCTGATCTCCGTCTTCGTCGATCTCGAGAGGAGATCTCCGCCTTCGTCGATCTCTTCGTCCCCTCTCATCTCTGTCATCATCGATCTGATCTCTCTTATTTCCGTCCCCTCTCATTTCCGTCTCTCTTCGTCTTTCTTTTATTACTTTTTTATTTTTTTATTTTTTAAAAAGACATAAGATTAACTAATAGGTTTGTTTTAATAGTTTATTACACTTTACCCTAACTAAATTCGCATGGACCATGTTCAATTTATTGTTTGTTTGTTTTAATAGTTTATTACACTTTACCCTAACTAAATTCGCATGGACCATGTTCAATTTATTGTTTAAAACTGCTCTGAATGGTTGAATAACTAAACCTAATTAACTGTTTTTGTTTATGCAGCTTGTGCTACTGTTGAAGTGCTGAGCAATTGAGCAACTTTTTTTTGTTCACTTGCTCGTTGCTACTTAACTCTCAAGTATAATCTGTAAAAAAAAAAACAAAGTCAGTGAGTAACAACTTATTAATTAGCATAATTAGAAAAAAAAGCTTAAATAGTAATTATCATGCTAATTAATAAATTATGAACATCAGAACATGTAAATATTTAATTGTTAATCACTTAATTCTTACTTAAAAAACATATTTCATATTTTAAATAAAAATATATATTTCTTGCATTGTAATTTGTATTTGTTACTTGTTGTTTATACTAAATTGAGATTTTCGTATTACGTTTCATATATGTTATGGTTTAATATTTAATTAGAACTTGTTACTTGTTGTTTATAGCAATGGAAGCAGAAGGTAGTTCTGGTGTACAGTTTGTTCAAGATGATCACACTCCTTTTTGTTTACAAACTTGTTATTTTGTGATAAATTCATAATTTAGATTGTTAGTTGAATTTTATAAATTTTTTTATATATAATAATAATTTTAAAAAATTTTCCTCGCCGTATCCCCGTATCCTATTTTTTTGGATTTTGCCGTATCCCGTATCCGTGTCCGTGTCGTATCCGTGTCCCGTATCCGTATCCGTGCATCATAGCCACCGTGTTTTAAGAACTAATACACTTGTTTTATTAGTATTTCTGATATCTCTACTTAACACTTTTTCTGATTTATTAAAAAAAAGCCCTTTTGTCACTAAACATTGTCCAATAACTGAATTTCTGGTCATGGCTCTTTGGCTTGTGTTCTGCCACAGCAGGTACCTTGTCAATCTGAGACTTTATACTCCCCCAGTATAAGGGTATTAACTTGTATCGGTAATTGAGGGTTTATTTACCTTACATAAAGTATACTTACAATCTGGTAATTGAGGCATTCCTCGGTTAGCATTGCCTCATAGTTTTAATGTCAGGGAATAGTTTGATCTGAACAATCTTACTTAACCTTCTGTGGAAGAGTTCACACAACATCAACATGAAAAAGCTTGGTGGACCCACAATAAGACATGCTGAACATTGCTTTTGTCCAATTGTAGTGACATTCCAACCAAAAAAGATAGTGAGCATTGGCCTTACATATAAAGGACAAACATCTTTGTATATTCTTTGATATTTATTTTCATCACCAGGGCTTCAGAAGGTAAGATGAACAATATGTGGTTTGTTCTATAATTCTATTGACGTTTCATTAATTTATTTGGCTTATCTTGTCACCTCAGCTAATTAAAACATGCTTTGGCTGGCAGTACAGTAACATCAGTCATAATTTGCTTGCATACAGGTATGGTTCTTCATTTCGTTTTACTGGTGATTACTTGGACAAGAAGCCACTTGATTCACGCGGTAGACGAAAAACGAAGATCGTCGCGATTGATGCTTTATCAAATGCGATGATAAGACAGTTTGAAGTTGAATGCCTTATACGGTATGCTAAGTTTTTTTACTGTTATTATCATTTTTTATAGAAAAAATCATATTTTAATTAGCAACTATTTCCAACTATATAAAGGAAGTCACAAAGGTTCTGATATGGCATGCTAACTGTCATGAGTGGTGGAGGCTCCCATAAGATACTTTTTCTTGAATTTTATTTGGTATTCTTGTAAACAACAAAGCCTGTTTGGTTTCCAAAAACCACTGTGTCAATTAACAATTACACTACAGGAAGAGCATGGATATGGAGATCCAAGAAGTATCCTACGTGTTAGTTTGCTATCTTTTTTGTTGCAGACTTGTTTGGATAAGGGAAATTTATATTCCTGACAGATTTAATTAAAAAAACAAATTTTCATGGTTTATGAATGCAGCTACATGTCCTCCTAAAGAGGGTAAAACCTCTACTTTCAGGAAAATCCTTCTCCAGAAAAAAAGTTTAAAAACAAACTTATGTAATAGTTACTGAAGACCCTTGAAGGAAGATGTCTAGAAACAGAGGTGTGAAAGGATGCATTTCTACTTTACCTTTAATATTATCAGCTTCTATTCAGTGATCACTACTCTCTTATGCTTGTAAGTCAAAACTTCTTACTTTTTTTCCCTGAAAAATTAAATTATAACAAAAACTTGATAGTTTATATTGTATGCCACGTTTCTATCATGTACGCTCTTGTGTTGGTGTGATGATGTCTTTGAATGTTGAGAAAATTCTGTGGAGCCCAACAGGTAGCAGAACATTTTATATTACTGAAACCAAGGAAGGATTCACTTCCATCCTTATTTGTTGGTTTATGGTTTAACTTTATATTATTTTCCATTCGAGTTCTTATAAGGTTTATGGACTTGTTATTCTCAATAAGAAAACATCCAGCTTCCATAATTGAATTGGCAACCAATTCCATCTTTAGCAGGTTGTTGGTTTTTAGCCATTGTGTAACTGGCTGCACAGCACACCTAGCGAATGGAATTCTGTCTGTATCGATGCTTGGTAAAGTGATTCCATCTTCTTGGTGTTTCTATTCTCAAGGAGCGGTTGCTTAGAATTGATACAATCTCTGCATCTATTTTCAGTTTCTTTGATTATTGAAAATGAAATGTATTTGCTAGTATTCAACTATTACTTCATTCTATTGGACTGTTCAATTGCTCAAATTTTCTTTGTATTTTTAATATTTTAAATTTGTATTGGGAGCAGGGAAACAAATAAAGCTTTCTGTGGATTTTTTGATCCCTCAAAAAATAAATGTTATCTGAAGAATTTCCAAGAGGCTTTCTTTAAGGAGCATTTTGATGGGGAAGACAATGAGGCTATTGACATGAGCCACAACAATTGTTCAGTAAGAGTTATCACTAGCTCATATTTCCCCGAGAGTTAGCATGTTTGGAAACTTTGGATATAATCCACTTGGATTATGATCCACAAATGGATCATAATCCAAGTGTATTATAAGTTAGTGTTTGAGCAATTTAGTGGACTATAATCCATTTTGAATAGTAGAGTAGTTGGGAAATGGGTGGATTATAATCTATCATTATTGTAAAAATAACTATAAAGGACATGGGATTGGTGTTTTGTTACTAAATAAGGCCTTGGATTTTGTGAAATCGTAAGGGGTATAATTGTCTTTTACTTGGTCAAAGCTCATGGCTTATAACCCATCAAAAAATAAGCTAGGGAACCGTAGTTTATTTTGGTGGGTATAAGCTAAAATAAGCTACTTGCCAAACATCTCTCCTGAATTATATAGAAGACCTATGTAACTTAATATTTTCCTCTAACAATCCAAGAGAGCCTAGAATACCCTATAAGTTTTGATATAGTTGCATGATGTAGATGAGTAGTTGTTGGGCACCAGAGCTATGGGAGTGGGAGCAGAAAATAAAAGATAGAGGAAAAATACTTCACACCTTTTTATGGTTTCATGTGGCAGATTGCTTCACACTTGTGCCTCTCAACTGCAGATGACTTCATAGATATCGATCAAAAGAAATAATTTGGGAAAACACTTAATCCTTTTCCTTTCACCAGATCGTTGACCAGTTATTCCATTACTACATAACATAGATGATGGATACTTTCCTAAATTCTGAGAAACTAGATAGATTAAGAAATATATAAAAAATTTAGTCAAGATGGGTTAGGAAAAAGACTTTTCTTTATCGGCAAGTAGCAAATATTTTAAAAGAAAATAAAAGATTTACTAGCTGTTTAACTGCCTAACTGAAAGCTCAAATAACCTATTTAGAATCTGATCAAAGCTTCTATAGTCCGAATTAGATATGTTTGCAGTTTGCGTAACTTCTTCCTCAACATGCTTTATTTATTTCTTGACTAAACCCATGTAGGATTTCAAAGCATTTGCCTACAGTGTAGCTCATATTGTATCACTAGTTTATATAGTGAACCTGTAATAGCCTGCTTTCTCTGGTGGTCCCATGGTGAGCCTTAGTTCTCCTTGAACTGTTTATATTTTTGTTAATTTTTTATGTTACTATTTTTTAAATTTCCTATGGATTTAGTTATATGTTTTTGTATAATTGATTGTGCATTCCCATCATGTATTTAGCTACTGCCTCTTTGAACAGGTTAATAATGCTACTTCTGCACAAGCTGAGAGTCCTCTCGTTTCTTCCCCTTCTATGGACTGTGATACAAGTACCTTGGGCTTCAACGGACATCTGACTAACGAAATATGTCAAAATGAAACTGGAATTGCTACTGGTAACTGGGGATGTGGGGCATTTGGCGGCGACCTTGAGCTTAAGACTATAATTCAGTGGCTCGCTGCATCTCAGGTACATGTGGCTCCATGGATAGTATGGATCTCAATACTTCTATGTCTTAATTTAGTGCCTTATGCATGTGCAGTCCTGTTATCAAAAGTTGGTTCCTATCCTCTTCACATCATTTCCCTGTACAAACAGCTGCCTAGTTACTTCAGTAAGAAGTTTTTGTCAATGTCTATGCACTTTTCACTTTTTGTTGCCACAGCCTCTAATGTACAGATCAAGCTATGAACACTGTGTGTATGTGCCTCCATTTTAATGGAGAAAGGCCTCGATAAAGAGGAGAATTTTAATTGCCACTGTCTCGTTTAGCATAATCTGATACTTGTTTCATAAAAAGAGTTCATACTTCATAGATAGTGATTTATGATATGATCATTTGACATCTCTGCTATCTTTGATCAAATGATGATACATGATAGTTAGTATTAACTTATGAGATTCCAATATTCTGTAGATTAGCTCTTGGATTTGACACTTATTGGACAAATTAAGGCGTAATTAGTTGCCATGAGATGATAGTAGACTGTCATCGTAGAAAACTTGGTTAAGAGTTTCCTTCGAATTCTCTGGTTTCTTGTGTCAAATCATTTGTATGGAGATTAGAAAGTTTTCATACTTGATTCTATTCTAATTGATCCTTGTTGCAGGCATTAAGACCTTTCATACACTACTACACCTTTGGTGACGCAGCCTTACAGAGATTAGAGCAGGTACTGGGAGCTGCAAGTATTTATTTGAAGACCTTCACATATACGTTTTTCTATTTCTTTTTCCCCAGTTATAGTCCAAACATTAACTGGGAAGGAGTTAATATTCTTATATTGAAAAAGTTTCATGAGCTCTCCCTTGATAAGCTCTTAGTTAAAAATGGCCTCGAGGGTGATTGACATAGAAAGGAGCAAGTGCGAACATATTCACTATCTCAGTAAACTAGAATGAAAAAAATTTGAATACCATAAATAATCTTTGTCATCCTGGAAATATGCAAAATAAACCATGAAGGAGCAACATACCCATGTGGTGCGGGGAATTTGTTTTGTAGATTACAGTATTTGTTCCCAACTAGTCTAACTATTATATTGTTTGAATGTGTATGTCATCAGTTGAATGCTGTGGAGTTCTCATTGAACAGGGTTTTTTGACCTTTGCCATCTCCAGCAGGTGTCTCAATGGATTTTGTTGCACAGATGGACAGTGGGGGATTTATGGAACATTTTAGTCGAATACTCATCGCAGAGATTAAAGGGGAAAACAAATGTTGGTTTCTTCAATTGGCTCCTTCCCCAGCAGGCTTACAGCAGTGATGACCACTACATGTCCGAATAATCCTCAATCTTGAGCACTTCTGTAGAAGTGCTTTGCAAGTCTGAAAAGGAATGCATCTTGCATCTTAGTTTCCCTGATAAATGTTTATTTTTTGTGTAGAGGGTTTTATATGGTAGTAAGGTGCTATGATCTTGGTGATCACAATCTTTGTAGTCTTTTTTTAAGTAGTTCTCATGTACCTTAGTAGTTTTCTCATCCCATTTTATCAATTTAATTCAATGAAGTAACTAAGATTTTAAGATTGGTTGGACGTTATTATTCATGGTTAACGTGCCTTGACTGGGTGTATTGTGTCGATTCTTTTGAGTAATATATCTAGAAAAGCCTGGCGCTTTCTTATTGACACCATTTTGGACACAACTGGTACATTCCAAAATAACTCTAACTCGCACATATTTACCCTTAGCCATGAACCCCCTTAATCTGCTAGTATTGAATTTAAAAGATTTAATCTCATCCTATGTTCCTGGATCAATGACAACTATTGACGTCCCTTAACTAGAGGTAGGATTGTATTTTTCATATTTACTTATAGTAAGAGTAATGTAAGTTTAATTCGTTTGATTCCACTTAATAGCTATTGTATTTTCATATTTATTTCTAGTAAGAGAAATGCTAAGTTTAATTAGTTTGATTTTACTTAGTATTATCTAAAGTCGTTTGTCAAAACTAGCGTCGAATTCAACCTGTCCTCTGTGCAGGGCAGAATGGCAATTCCTTCTTTATTGTGAAATACTCTCTGTGCAGGGTAGAATGGCAATTCCTTCTTTATTGTGAAATACTCTTAAGTTGACCGTTGGTAAACATTTGAAGATCCCGTTATAATGATGCACGAGGTCTTTAATTCAATGCTACCGACATTGGTAGCAGTGATGATAACATTGAAAAGAATGACATCTCATAGCCAACGAGCGAGGGACTGAGAGATGATATGTTCTTTTCATCCCGCATCTCAAGACCAAGGAGCGAGGGACTGAGAGAAGATATGAGGAGAAACATTAGGGAAATGCTCGGCAAAGTTTTTTCACTAAAAAAGTGTGGTTATTTTATATTCCTTTTCTTGACTCTCCTTCGGTGGTCGAAGAAGAGGATCATTACCTAAAGATGCGGAAGGTTGGGTTTAACTTGATCAGTTCTTCAATAAGACAATCACGAATGTTGAGAAAGACGTCAGGTTTCATAATTGCACCCAGAAGGAGAGTTTGATGATGTGTTCAAATACTTAAATCCTCCTATCGCACTGTTGTGAACGATACAGAAGATCACTTATCTTTTTTTAGAGTGCAATTGCGCAACAATAAGGTAGATGTTACCTTGTTTTGTCACTGGTAATTGAATAATACTGTATGTAGGGCCTCTACAGATTTAGAAAGCAATAATCAAGCCAGAAAGTGTACTGAAGATGCTCTGGGAGATGAGACTTATGCATAAATCAAACAATACTATACTAATCATACAAAAAAGCAGGAAGGATGTTGTGCAGAGATGAAATGCAGTTAAATTAATGCAGAAAGATTTTTTCTCAATGTTATCAGTTGTTCAATCAGTAGATAAACAGTCGGAAATAATAGTATTTGTGACATCCTCACTTTAGTCCCACGTGGACTAGTGTGAAAAAATGTTAGTGGCTTAAATAAAAAAGCCCAATGCCTAAAACCAACTAGTGCTAACATTTAGACAGTGGACTTTAACCAATATCGAGTTGTTCTTGGTGGGTCTCACGACTTACATGCGTCAACGGACCCGTAGGCCCGAGGCGTGACAGTATTCTTCAACTGCAAAGCAGTGAGGTTCTCATGCCCGAGCAAACCAGCTGGACCAAGCCAAGAGAAAGATCCCATCACTCAAGAACGAAAAGAACCTAGATAACCAATGTTTTATATATTAGAAGATGTTGAAAATCATTTCTCGAAGAATGTATTCAGTGTTTTAGAAACAAACTCTAGTGACATCATCATTTATATGAAATGTTGCTTTGCTCAGACAAAATCTTTCGTCCTGACGAGATAGCTAAGTGGGCAACAACAAAGGAAAAAAGATGCAAAATAAGGCTTGATGGATGCATCTTGGGTGAGCAAGCTCCAGTTAGTATCCTTTGTTTCCGCGAATTCTTGCTCTCATGTCAACCTGGACGTAATGAAACACACCATTTAGAATGCACAATTAAGAATGCAGTAATTTCGCGTTATGAAGCAAACGACGACGACAACAGCAGCAATCATCAGTAGCAAAAAGAAAAAAAAAAGGAAGAAATTGCAAACGTTTATGGAAAAATCCAGGGAAAGCAGTTTAATTCATCCTCACAATCAACAAAATCTTTGTTTATTGATCTGTGGATAGTGAAAGATCCAAACATAATGAGCTTTTTTAACAAGTTGTCTTGCATCGATTGCACTTTTGTTCATTGTAATTGCTTCTTTCATGTGCACCACTAGAGCTTAGCAAATTTTTTTTTGTTCAAAGGGAAGGCCTTGAAGTCCCCATTGTATATAGTGCAATTCAAATGAATGATGATCATTCCATTATTGCTTTTAAAACCAATCTATTCTCTACCACTTGATATATGAAAATGGACGTGTTCAAAATACATGGTTAATTTTAGCACCCCCTCCTAACTATGGGGTGTCACAGAAAACCCCTCTCCACTATTTTAATTTAGCTAATTCCCCTTAAATTTGGTGATGTTGTAGATAACCCCTTCTTTTCTAGTACGACTTAACCCCCCCTTAACAATAAGGTGCCTCACAACCCCACTCCACCCCCCACCTCCCCGGATCTTTTCACGTTTCTCAACATAATCCCCTGATATAATTAACCTAAATGTGAAATGACTAGAATACCCTTTGGAAGAAAAACCCATTTCTACTTTTAGTTAAAAGAATCCCAACCAATAAAAAAACACCTGACCCAATTTTTTCATAAAAAAGGATGCGAGGTGTTCAAACAGGGGAAAAAAGAGATAGATAAACAACAACCCTTTTGATGGCTGAGGGGTATCTTGATCACTATGTTGTTATATAACAAACTTTGTGCTCAAGCTTCTCGGTTCAAGTAAATAGACAGTGCATTAGTCCATTTAATAATAAAACTCTCACTTTAAATTCCAATAAGCTCAAAAGGTTCTATATCTTCTAAAGAAGCAATCAGGTTGGTCCTGACGATCTGCAGTGATCAGTATAGATCCGCTCTCGTGTGACAAGCTATCCAGTGTAATATACAGTAAAGCTTGCACTTTGGATAAGGTTAAGTACCCCCCCCCCCACCCCCAACACCAAAGAATTGCACCTTCTATTTGAGGATGATACAAATAACACATTTATAAGGTCATAGTTGGCTACTCTGCTGAGAAATAAAAGAAGTTCATATTATAAAACAAGAGAAAGGATAGTAATAAGAAAAAGACAAAATTAACCCCTCTTTTGAAATTTTAAAAGGTGTCAGAAATCCTGGTGAACTAAGATCTTAGTACAGCTCGCGAATATCAGAGGAACATGTGAATGAATTTTGATTATAGCATTTAGAGTTACAGGTGGCTAAATTACCAATGGTATTTTTGAAACCCTCTTTTCCAGTTTCGTATTTTTAAAAACTCCTGCAATAGCCAGGTATTTAATCTGGACTTTCGAATCAACAATAATTTAGCAGTTATAGATGTGTTGCACCAAAATCCAGATTTTAAAGGAGGGTACCATGCAGGTCTGGTGGCATAAATCCATCGTCTCCATCATCCTTCCTTTTCTAGTTTAATAAAAGTGCCCTAGATTTTGATTATATTCTTCAATGAATTTGAGACAAATCTGCTATTTCTTTGAATATGTACAGTAAATCCCTCTGAGTAATATTTGTTGACAACAATTTGCATCCACCAGAAGAACTATCAAAATAATGCTCGCTCGAATGTCAAGCACCATAAAACCCCCTTGATTTTGGTTACATACCTCTCCCCACTTAACTAAATTGTATAAGTCTTTTAATTCATTAGACCCCATCTATGAACATCCTTCTTATTTCGTCTATTCTATCACACATCCAACTAGAGAATAGATAAAAAGCATCCAAGTGGCATTGAGGATTGGACGAAAATAACTAATTAAAACTAAGGCCAGCAAATATTTTCCTTTCCGAGTCTCTTTCCAAATTTATATAGGTTAAAGTAAATAAACCTTCCTTACAATTTAGTATAGTAGCTATTTGTCTTTGTATTAATTCATTATTTCTTCTGACACTGTCATAGAACTTTTTGGAAAATTGATTCCACGAGCAGATGCTAATTCATATCCATACAACCAAAGTTTCAAAACCACCCGCTGATATCCTTTTCTGCCTTACAAAATAATTGACACAAAATAAATTATAATCACAACAACTTATAGTGAAAAGAGAACCTTCCAGTGTTATCGAGGCGCAAGGCGCAATGCGGGGCGCAAAGGTCCCTTACGCGCACCATGCGCAAGGCGCACAACAAGGTGCGCGCCTCACTAACTGAGGCGCATAACTCAAATTAATATTTGCCAACATCATAAGACAGAAACATATAAGCAACATATTAGTTACCTACATCCAAAATTATGAGAATATCAACTTAAATCATCAATTATGCTAACTGAATTTTTAAAGTAACAAAAAAGATACAAGAAACATGTATTTAAATCATCAAATTAAGTGATTAACAATTATGAACATATGCTTATAAATTATCACATAAAAGACTAAGGTAATTATGTAAATTATTTAAAAAAATAGAAGAAAGAGTATGTTACATAACACAGGTGCGAGGCGCACGCGAGGTGCGCGCCTCGCTGCGTGCAGCTCCCCGCCTCGCGTGCGGGGCGCATTTCGCCCAGGCCGAAGCGCCTCGCGCCCGGGGCGCGCCCGGGGCGCGCGCCTCAATAACACTGGAACCTTCTGTATATGTAACTTAGAGCACTTTCTCTTCTTGCCTAGCTTGGCATGTGATGCTGGCATGCTGTCTAGGTTAATCAAGTAATTCAACTTTAAATTCTAATACTAATTTTGCATATTGTAATATCAAGTACTCATGACATTATATTTCTATGTAGGCAGTCAGCTAGTTAGTCTACGTATTAAGGTACAATCAATAGTGCAATACTCTATCAATTTATTTTTGGCATTCATAAGTACTTTTTTGTTAAATAAACGTAAATCTTCTATGTTAGCTACTCCATTACTTCTATGTGTGAGTTAATAAATTATGCCACTAATTCTCTTTCTTATTCATAT